GTCTTTCTTTCAAGAAGTATCTTCTGTTCTTTTACCTGCTCCAGGCTGGTCTGCTTGTCCTTTCAAGTGGAGATTTCCCACCTCCGAAGATTCTGGACTGCGTTCATGATTCCAACTATGGTCTTATGTAATGCAGAGGTTCCACAGGAAGCCTCCTTCACTGGGCACATTGTAGCCCCATTTTAGGTACTCCAATTAGTTATAGGCAGAAGACAGACTTACAAACTTTCTTTGGTGATATTTCTGGCTATTCCTTTCTCTCCCCCTCAAGTGTCTATTTTACAATGGTATGCAAGTGAAACTAAGATTCAAAAGACAGCTAAGCATCTTAACATTGTTGTTGTTGTCAGGTGCCATCGAGTCAGAAGCAACTAATAGTGACCCCATGCACAGAAGAATAAAACAATGTCCGATCCTGGGCCAACCTCACTACCGCTGCCACACTTGATGCCATCAATGATGCCACCTGGCCGACCCATCTTGTTGGGGGTCTTCCTCTTTTTCTCTGACCCTCCATCTTACCCAGCATGACATCCTTCTCCAGCGAATGTTCCCTCCGGACAATATGTCCAAAGTATGAGGGACGAAGTTTAGCCATCTTGGCCTCCAAGGCGCACTCTGGCTGCACTTCTTCCAAAACAGATTGGTTCTTTTGGCAGTCCATGGCACTTTTAGTATTCTCCTCTAACACCACAATTCAAATCTTAATATTATTTCCCCCTTTTTACTCATTCAAACCATGCCTCAATCCCTGTATCCCAGAGCCTTGTTGTTCCAAGGTTAAGCATACATCATTATTTATCTCTGTCCCACTTAGCCCATGCAAACTTGCCTAATTGTTCTCCCATCTGCCTTATTCTTCCATTCCCCTCCCTCTTCTTGTGTAGTGCCCCTCTCTCTAGCACCCAAACTGTCCTGTGTCTAATCACTACCCTGTGCTCCACCTACCCCTCCCTCCCCTCACGCCACCCCCCACATCCTGGTAATCAGCAAAGAATCCCCCCCTTCCCCCCTTGGTGTAGGTTATTTTTCTTAGTCTTTTACAATACTGGCCCTATGCAGTATTTCTCCTTTAGTGACTGACTAATTTCACTCAACATAATGTCCTCAGGTTCATCTATGCTATGTGGTGGCTTACAGCTTCCTTGTTGTTCTTCAAGGTAGCATAATATTCCATTGTGTGTATGTATCACAGTTTGTTTATCCATTCTTCTGTTGATGGGCACTTAGGCTTCTCCATCTTTTTGCTATTGTAAATAGTGCTGCTGTGAACATTGGTGTGCATATATCTACT